GAGAGAAAGAAAAGTTTGCCGAAAACATGACGCCTGACGCTGCAAGTACAGGTGCGAATGGAAGTGCAGGTAAGGTGGGGATACAAGGCCATCGATCTCATCGCAATGCATCGCATCGGACAAGAGCGGCCCAAGAGCGGCCGTGGGTCGAGACTGAGTGGAATCGTCCCGTCTCTTTCCATTCTTTGGAGCTCCAATCCCCGTCGAAGTTTCCTCTCTTTCCTCGAGGAAGCTTCGGCCTTGTGGTGTCAGCGGGACGTCATTGGCTGTGGGGCCACAAGATACCTACGATACGTATTGTTTTTCTTCTGAGGCATGGAAGGTGCAGAGTACCAGATACCTTACCTATTGAATTAAAGGCATGTCGAGGAAGGGAGCTTGGGGAAAAGGAAAGAGCATTTGGTTGCAAATGGCATAGAAGCCGGCAGAGTCACGGACATCGGCTCCGAAATTCTGCGCGGCTGACACACTCCTTCCATATCCCACCTTAAGATAGTAGGTACCCACGTACCCTAAGGTAGATATTATGGTCACTCGTGGACCGTTTGCTCCGGGGATCGTCCCAGAAGCAGGTCCGCTCCTTCCCGTCTACAAGGGTCCTTGGCTGCTTGTCGGGGGGGGTGACCATGGCAATATCGACTCATGGAAGCAGTGCCGGACCAGGATGTAAATCATTGTCTGCTGCGTAAAAGATGGTCCCATTGGTCAGGCTTCTAGCATCATCTAGAAACAAGACAGGTAGACAAAAGTTAGTAGGGATTCAAGTGTAGTATACTGTGTAGAATAGGGTGAGTTGGCTCCGGCATCCCGGAAACGACGGCCCCACACCCGCACCAAAATGGCCTAAAAACGGCCCAAAAATGACGTCAAATTGCCTCGGCACACCTCCCTACTGAAAGTCGCCGCCTCACTAGCCACCGTGGCAGTCCCTTCCCGTCCTTCATTCAACCTCACCTTGACCTCACCTCACACACACTTGTGCCGCAAGCGCAGCTGCCATTTACTGGTTTTTGGTGGTGTCATATTCATCATGACATCCCATCTCGATGCCCTCCTTCCCTGCCTTGAAATTTCACACCAAGCCTGCCGCCTCGGCTGATGTTATTGCTTTGTGATTGTTTGCTTTCGTCTCAGGTTTGCACGTCTTCCAAACCCCCTAAATACGCGTACAGAGACACTACACTGCCTTGATATTCGCCCTGTCCGACCGAACATGCTCCATCACCACGACGTCAAACTCAGCCACAGCTACCTATCGATCTTTACCTGAGCCACACCGGCCACATCTACGGAGTACACAGTACATACATACCTTACTACGTATCCGTACATTACATCAGTCACCCCAAGCCAAGCCAGGCAAGGCAAGGCACCGCTGCCAAGAAAACCCTCCCTCAACGTCAACGACACCTGATGCTTTTCCTCCAACCCGCCCGGGATCCTTAGCTTCCCGCCAGCGGAACACCTTTGCCGTTCATTTGCAGCTTCCAGCCCTCTACAGACCACAGCCTTTGCTCAACAACGCATCCCGAAGATTCCTTGCGCACCCTTGATTTGTCACATTCTCTCCCATCCTCCCATCTCTTCCGTCCCTCTTTCTCATCCCCTCGACCTATTATCAATCGAACCCGTTCCGACACACCCGGTATACCACTGTTTACCTGACCCTCTCACCGCTCGCAACCTTTGAGACATTTGATTCATTGTCCGTCTGAATGTCCGATCGCCCCTCGTTGTTACCTGCCAGCCTCACCAATACCCACTAGCTTAATCCTCCTGACTCCCACACGCGCTCCGCGCAGTCCGCGTTCCCGATGCTACAGAGCAAGCTTACTCGCACCATTTCCAACATCTCCAACGTCTCCAAAGAGAGTAGAGCCAGTAGGAAAGAACGAAAAGCTGAGAGTAAGGCCGCGAGCAAGGCCAATAGCGTCGCCAGTAGCATAGCCGGCGCTTCCGACGATGAGTACGATAATCCACTCGAGAACATCGCGCGATGGCGCTTGACGGCCAATGCCGTTGCCCTACGCTCGGGGGCCGCTTTTGCCTTCGGCCTGCAGAACCTGTCCGCTCCCGTCCCACCGGCTGCGAATAGAGTCATCTGGGTAGATTCTACCCTCTCAGAGTGGGCCGGCAAGGAGAAGATTAGGGTCGATGTTTATCTTCCTCCCACCAACTCCTCCAGTAAACCCACCGGCAAGATCCCTGCGGTAATCAACTTCCACGGCGGGGGCTTCATCCTCGGACAGGGCACTGATGATGCCCGCTGGGCTGGCGCCGTAGCCACGGCCCTCAATGCCGTCGTCTTCTCCGTGAGCTACCGCCTGGCCCCGGGGTACCCTTTCCCCACACCGGTGGAGGACTCCGCCGACTCTATTCTTCAGATCGTCGCACGTGCCGAAGAATTCCGCATCGACATAAACAAGGTCGTGTTGTCGGGTTTCTCGGCTGGAGGCACACTGGCCCTTGCCAGTTGGAACATTCTCCAGGACCCTGATCGGTGGGGATACAAATTTAAACTACCTGTTCCCGACATCTCCGGCATAGTCTTGTTCTACCCGCTCTTGGATTGGACCATGACTAGGCCCCAGAAGCGCAAGACATGTGGAAAGCCAGAAATGACTCTTCCCAAAGGCATGACTGACCTTTTCGATGCGTCGTACATATATCCCCCGAGACCAAGGTCCGAACGTGGTGATCCGCGCCTCTCGCCTGGTCTCATGACAGATGAGATGATAGATCGCCTGCCACCAGTGCACCTGTGCATGTGCGAGCATGACATGTTGCTATTGGAGGGACAGGCCTTTGCGGAAAGAGTAAGATCCCGCGGACGCCGGGTCAGCACACGTGTTGTCGAGGCTGAGAAGCACGCCTGGGACAAACCTCCGCCGTTCGCGCCCAAGGAAACGGTCATGCTTGAGTACAAGGAAGCCATAACAGCCATTGAAGAATGGTTTGATAATACAGGGATGACGTGGAAGCTAGAGTGAGGGCTGAATCACTGACCTCGTGGGTGCTAGAGAGATACCTAAGAACTGTATATTGATTTCCAGGCGATTTGAGCGAAATAGAAACCTAATTATGAGCATCGACTGAGGAGTCTTCAGGGCATCCGTACAGAGCTGTGCCCCATTACATTCATGAGTAGGAGCAAATTGAATGCATGTCTTACTATTCCCAGCGGCTTTTTCAGAGAGATAAAACAAGATGACGTGCGAAGAGGGCAGTGAAGTTCTGGGTGACGTTGGAAAAATAACCTTTTAAGCCACCTTGCCAAGATGTTTGATTCGTAGAAAGCCAAGCCCAACGTCACGCGTACGCTGCTGGATCTACCCATTTGACTTTTCACCGCAAGACTACGGATGCTTGTGGCTTTCCTTATTCGCTAGGATATTTTTCAAAAGTGTAGTGCAGGCTACAGCGCCCCGCGGCGATCATCGCGGCTTGCGACGCTTTCTTATGTTTAATGGCTACCTTAACCTCAGAGGTTTTTGAGCCATGCGAGATACTAGATGGAGGGCTGGCAAGTCTCACAGTACATGTTATGGGGAGATTACGAGGATGGCTTGGTTAGTCTTAGATGTCACTATAGCAAATATTTCGAGGATCAGAGCTTCATCGAGTTTTATGTCGCCAGCTGCGCTTTCAGCTGGTGGTGGATTCGTATGCGGAATGTGGCGCTTCGAGGCCAAGAGGTTTACTGCTGTATATTTCCTTCCTCGCGGTCCATTGTCGGCTGTGGAAACATGTCGCCTTGAGGACATTCACGGTGTACGTTATTTTTGTCCTTTGTCAATGTACCTTGAGGGGTAAAACAGGATCATTTAGGGTAAAACTAGGTTTATTTGCGATGTTCTCGTAAGATATCTTCAGTTTTGAGGCTGCGAACAGATATTATCTAAGATTACGAACCTTCGAAAATTCGTATTGGATTATGTGGACAGCTTCGGGAGAGTGAAGTTGAGAAAAAGAGGAAAGGATAGAGTCACAATGTGGCATCGAAGTGCGATATAATACTATGTCAAGATGTCGAACTTTAGCATCGCATTGAAAGAGGTTCGAATGACAGTAGTCTACATCCCGCGAAGACTTTCCGAAATCAAAAGAGAGTTCTCGGGAGAGATAAAAGTGCCACTTTGTACAGTTGGCCTCTTCACCAAGGTACTTTACCCAGAGTTCATGCCCGAGTCTCGTTGAAAACCATCATCTTGGTTGAAACTCGTCATCCTCCCGCGAGTGCTGTTGATATGTTTGTGTAATTTAATTCATGGCACAACTGACGCAATTGAATTAAACGTTCTTTGTGTTTTATGTGCCGATAAATCATAGATGGTGGGCTTTTTCTCGCACGTCTCTACTTCATGGGACAATTTTTGAACATGTATCTCGTATTGAATCCCTCCTGCCAAGAGCCTTCCCGGCCAGCAGTTGTTGAGATCAAAGCAGTCTATGAGAAACTCTGAGTATCTCATGGTATAATTTCTACAATCCCATGATCACGGACTACTTATCAAAAGCCTGTCGCGAAGCTCTCTGAAGACAATTTCAACTCAGCTCGCTAGCCGCATCGTCGCAAGATCTTGGCAAAGAGGGGTAGGAAAGCAGATCAGATATGGGGTCGACTGCGAACCGCCAACTCCTCAACACACACCAAAGTATTCTTTAATCAGTAAAGCCGATCGAGGTTGCGGATTTGTGCGTGACATGGTCCCCGATCTGGAAATGTGTTCTGCATCCTGCGCCGTGCCTGCACCAACAAGCGGGTTGTGATCACTCGACTTCACCAATCAATTGCGGCAATTGAATCTCGAATCCCTGTAACATTGGTTTTATGGCAACGTGGGCGCTTCTAAAGACCTCAAAAAGCGGCGTTTCCCCCCCTGTGGCCGGACCTGTTAGTTGGTTCCTTTGTATTCTTTCCACACTGCGCCGTTCCACGCCGCAGCTCTGCGTGGGAAGCTTGAGCAACTCGATCTGATTCATGAAACTTTCTAGAGAAAATGTCGGATATGGATATTGATTGGCCCAGTCCAGGCCAGGCCTCGGATCTCCCATCTGATGATGGATATGCGGTTCGCCTATGAGACATTCATATCTTTTGCTGCAATTTGAGGACAATGTCGCTGACAGCACGACGCAGACGGATAGCGGTGTTTCCTCTATGGAAGAACAAATGTACAGCCTCCTGATCTAGAAGATTGGGAGTCCAAGCTGATTCAACAGGTCAACATACACAAGGTCAATGACTTCATCCATTGTCAACTATCCTCTAGAGTATGGACGACGATATCACGCTTATAGGGCAGGTGGTAAGTCGTCTCTCATGCCCGTTCACACAAACATCTTTAATATGAATGCTAACATACATGAATGAAGTATACGCCTTCCCAAATGATGATGTCAGTCACTCGGCAGAACCTTTCGCAGATCCGAGCATGCAAACTTGCTAATGTTTCCGCAGCCCGAACTTGATCGTATGGATATGGCTCATGGCCTCATGTTCAAGTCGATCGGTTACAAACTCTACTTGGCACCCTTGTTCAAAGAGAATTTGCACAGAATACTAGACATCGGTACAGGTACAGGGGTCTGTAAGGCTTCCTTTTCTAGAAGCTGAGCATGCCCAGCAGACAGCTGAGTCTATGCTTCGCTTAGGGTCTGTGGAAATGGGTGACAGATTCCCAAACACCGAGGTAATATGCGATTAGATGATTCTTTACTCAAGTTGAAGCAAATGACTTGAACTTGCATCTGACGCATAGCAGATCATTGGTGTTGATTTGAGCGCTGTTCAACCATCATGGTAAGCCTTCTGTCGATAACTACAAAGGGTTAGACGACTTGACAATTCTCAGGGTACCTCACAATGTAAAGTTTGAAATCGACGACGTGGAAAGCCGGTGGGTGGGCAACAGAATGTTCGACTACATCTTTGTCCGATACATGCTGGTCTCCATCCAAGACTGGCCTAAACTAGTCCAAAATATCTACGAGTACGTCCATATCCCAAGTTCACAACGCCACATCACCATCACCTCGCTCACGCCCCCATACCTTTTAGATATCTTAACCCCGGCGGATGGGTCGAATTCTAAGATATGGACGGCCTCTATTACTCCGACGACGGAACCTACACCGCACAATATACCACGCATACTTGGAACTAAGACTTCGTTTAAGCCTGCGAATCTATCGGCCGCACCGCCCGTCCCGGTCCGCAACTCGAGGGCTGGGTTAACGAGGCCGGGTTCCGGAACGTGGTGCACAAGAGGTTCAAGGCGCCGATTGGGTCATGGCCCAAGGACCCTCACTTCAAGGACGTGGGTATGCACAATTTGTGTCAACTTCTTAATGGGCTAGAGGGGTTTACTCTAAGGCTGTTTTGTGGGGTGTTGGGGCGGACGGAGGAGGATGTTTTGGGCATGTTGGAGGGTGTGAGGGAGGAGTTGAAGCGGGGGCTGTTCCACGCCATGTTTGACCAGTGAGTTTTCCGTGACCGCCTTTCTGGTTGGCTTGGTAATGCTGCTTACGATTCGTCTCCCTTTTAGTCATGTTGTGTATGGACAGAAACCTTTGCAGGGACAATGAAGTACGTTGCTTCGTAGCCATCATTTAAGTAAGTTGAATGCGAAGAAGCTCTACTTCTCTAGAGAGAAGAGCCCTCAGCAAATTCTTGAGGTATTGAAGGCAAAAATGGGCTTCCACGCCTATTGAATCTATGACGCATTCGTTGACCGGGAACTACTTCGCTTGAGTTAAAAACCACGACTTTAACAAGCCCTCTATTTGATCTTTCTTGATATTACCAGCATGAGGAATCTATTGAAAACTCAACGCGAGTAATTCAATTTGAGCCTTGAATTGTTTCATCATACAGATCGAAGCGTGGTATCATTGTTAAATCATACTAGTCACCTCTCACTCCTGCGCAACAGCTTTACCCCTTCCACTCGCCGCCTCAAACTTAACCTGCCACTTGTCCTCCTGCTTAAACATAGCAACACACTGCAGCGCGCTCGGAGCCCCAAAGTCGGGATCCGCGCCACCTCCGAGGAGAACCTAACGTCGACGGTGTTAGATGCAAAATTTGCCCGCAAAGTGATAGTGATATTGACCATGGAAACCGGGCGCCGGGATGAAAGGCCGCTAAGTTTAATCGGTAAAGACAAGAAACAACAACACGACAGAAACTGGAACGAACCTCGATAACTTTATCCTCTTGCTTAAACACCGCCCCAGCAAGCGGACTCTGCCCCCGATCGTTCAGCCGATTCGCATCGGCCCCGTGCTGGATGAGCAACTTCACCAGGTCCGCGTGTCCGTGATACGCGGCTAGCATGAGCTAGATATTCGAAAAGAATAATGCTGTTAGCGAGTTTGATTGATCAAAAGGGTCTTCATAGCACCGTGAAAGTATAAAGCACATACCAACGTATCACCCTTCTCGTTCGTCATATTCGCCGGCAACCCAGCCGGCAACGCCTGCCGGAAGATGGCGAGATCCCCTTTCCGCGCGGCGTCGTACATTCGTCCCGCGAGGGCGATTGCTTCGGGCGGTAGGGAGCCGGCGCTCTGTGAAGAATCCATGATTTTGAAAATTCCGAGTCCTGAGGAATATGTGTGTGTGTTGCCTGGAGAGGAAGTGTATCAGTTTCGCTGTGTGTTGACATGTGAAAGGACTGCAAGTCTTCGCTGCGGGGGGGGGGGGGCCTATTAGCTTGAACAGAGACTCAGCTTACCCTTGAGATAATCCAAGATGGACTTTGGTTGGATTATCCTCGAAACCGCGGGGAGGCTCTCAGATGATAAATCGGGTTGGCAATTCAGATACAAGAAACCTAGTGTAGGTAAGGTAGTTGAAGATCGGAGAGCTGTGGGTTGGAGGTTGACAAGATGGTGGGGTAAAAAATACCGAATGCCGAGTGGATGGATGACGTGAAAGAATAGCAAGCAAGCAGCTCATTCATTCCCGGGAGCCCCACGCACGCCCCCAGCGGGGATAGCGGAATATGCTGATGGTGGGAACGTGTCAACCAATTGGACGTAACTCATTTGACATGGGATGAACTCCAGGAGGTGAACGTCGATTCAATGATCATTGTGTAGCTAATGAGAGAAGTAGAAACGGCGGTCTCTTCAAGTAGAAATTCTTGGCTCCCCAATTCACGGACACATACATCAGACCAAGGCGAAGAAAACCATCTTCAAAACCAAAGTTGTTTCCCCGTTATATTTTTTTCTTATCCTTCTGCTCCGTATTACTATTTACACCTCATTAATCAGAAACGAGCCAATTCCTCCCAATGCGAGCAAGGCCGAATTGTGCCGTGACGTGTTTGCAAACTCCCTCGCTCAGCGAGACCGCCGGACCTCCGTGTCATGATGAAACCCCTCCCCATCTATTACAAAGGCAAGGCACATCTCCCACCAGACGGAATGAGAGAAACACCCGAAGCCACTGTGAAGTAAGAGAGGGAAAAAAAAAAGCCCCCTCCCCGCGGCTCCCTGCCGTCGAACGGTAGACAACCTCGTGGGAGCGGGCTCGTTGACAAAAGTCTGGGTATCAAACTATGTTTGTACAAATAAAAAGAAGTGAAGAAGAAAAGACAAAACAAAAGATGATGTGTGTGCCAAAACCAACACCCAAAAGACGCCCACCCAAACTCAAACTCCTAGAGTCCAATGTGGTCATATCGTCGTGGGCTCGGCTCTCTGCGCGCGCGTGAAATGCTCATGATTTCCCTGCCAAACACCCCCGTCTTCGTTCTCCGTAGCATAGTGTATGCACCAAGTCCATCTAAGTCCTGATTGGCGTGTCTCGTTCGACGTCGAATTCAATCTCTCCCTCATCCAACTCTCCCCTCGCGGCTCTGCGAGCCAAATCTCTCTCTCCGTAAATTTCAGTCTTGCGCGTTTCAGCCTGTTGCAAGCAGTCGACATATGTCCTGAACTTGACAATCTCCCGTAGGAGGTAGGCACTCTTGCGCTCCCAGTTGGCCATGGCGCGAACGGCGTTGTTGCCGCGGGGTGTGAAGGCGAGCAACATCGGGCTACGAAGCTGGTTGTGCGTCTGAAGGTCATCTTCGATGCCCTTGACATAGGCAAGGAGACTTTCGAGCTGCTCCTCTTCTGGTAGGTTACTGGGCCGCATGCTCTGTGTTGGTGGCGCCCACTCGGCGACGTGGATCCTGTCACCAGGCAACTTGTTGCCGCGGCTGGCTGAGCTATAAGGGCCTCCGGAGCCGTGGTCGAGTGAAGCAGCTGAGCGGAAGCTCGACATACTAGGTCGAGGGTTTCCGGCGGCGCTGCTTCCGGGCCTTGAGTTAGAGCGCTGGCGCCCAGTTGCCGGTCCCACGGTCTGTTCGTTGATAGCCGTTACCAGTGCGTTGTTAATGATGGCGTCGCTCCAGCCATACTCGATGTTACTGATACCGCCGACTAGAGGGTGTGTGCTTAAGCGCGCGCTCCAGTAGTTGGCTGTGGTGACGAATTCTTTGCTAATCTCGGGGGTTCCGACTTGGAATAGGTGAACAGCGCCCGTGGGCAAGCTGAGGGCCCAAACGTGAGGGCGAGCTCTCGAGTAACCAGGCGGTGGCAGGGTAGATGCTAGAGTCTGTCGGAGGCTGAAGGTGCCTAGGTTAGTGGCATTTTCCTGCCAGTTGCCGCCTCCCACAATGGCCGGACCCTTGGTTGCATTGCGACCGCGGCCCTTGCGTCCCGTCTTGTTAGTGCCGAAGGAAAAGATACTCATTTGGCCTCTTTGAATGACGGCAAAAACCTCGTTCCAGTGACGGTCCTTGGCCTTCTTCTCAATGCCGTCAAGATGGTGCTTATGGATGACCATGCCTTCCTTTACCCACGGAGGACCGGCGAGCTCGAGCGATTCGTCGTCGAGGAGTTGCGCGGGTTTGAGTTCGTCACTCATGATGGACGGCTCCTTCCCGAGACAGGATTCATCGTCACGGATGACGGCCTGGCTAAGGGCGTTGGCAAATCCGATGGACTGTTGATAGTCGCCTCCACGGAATGACGAGCTGAGCGAATCCACAGACATCGATGTTTGCGTTCGGCCCAGCGAGAGCTTACTCCACGTTGCCGATGATATTGTAGGGCTCCAAATGGAATTTCCGTCCTCGAAGCTCGTTCGCGACGAAGAGAAGCCCGGATTGCCCATACGAGGTCGTGACCTGCTCTTCGAATTCCATCTGGAAGAATTGGCACGGCCATTTTCAGCTATGCGCCCACGCATAGATGCCTGACTCTCAGACGGGGCCTTACTCAGAACGCTAGGCGTTCGCTTCAGCATACCAATAACAGAGAGACCGCTCTGGGTGATGGGCGCCAGATTCTTGGACGGATCGGCACCGAAGAGAGGCAATCGTTCGTCGCGGATCGAGGCGTAAATGTCTTTGAGGACAACTTCGACCTGGCTTTCCCAGGCTCGCATCGAACCGTCGAACGGTGACTTGACCAAGGGCCCGCATTCGTCGTGGCAGTGGTCTCCGGACCCGTCTCCCTCGTTTCTCGGCGGCGGTCGAAACGACAGTCGGCGCGAAACGAACCGCTCTTCGATCGACGGTCTGGAATCGTCGCCTCCAAGAGCGCTATTGGATTTACCCGGTAAAATGGTCGGCCGCTCAAACGCATCAGGGGCCGCCTCAATCACCGCCTGAGTGATGGTAGTCATGGTGTTCTTGACGAACTGACTCCGCGTCATCTTGTGCTCGATGTCAGCCAGGTGCAAATCAGTGTTGAGCAGCATGATTGAGTAGCAGATTGTGTGAATGACGTCTGTATAATGTTAGTTTATGTTCTTGATGATTCGGAGGCAACAGTAGCAACATACCGGATGCCTTGAATCCGTGGTTGGTGTTGCAATCACACCAACGCTTGGAAAAGGCAACCAAGATACGATCAACCTGCTGTGTCTCTGCTCTAAAGACAAGGCGCTCGCAGATCAAGCGGAGACTCTGGAGAATGCTCTTGTCGGCAAAGTCATACAGATCCATGTACGCTTGCAAAGTCCTCTGCCGGACGGGGCCTTCTTCACCCATCCATGCAGCGGCCTTCTCCTTCTGGATGAAGTCCTCGTTACCATCGTAGATCTTTTGGGCCTTTTTGCGGTCGTCTTCTGTTGGGTCTCCAACGATGAAGTCGGGCTCATCCAGAGGCTTGGTGCTCATAGCCTCAAATGTGCCAAGGACCTTGGGGCTATTCTCTGTGGTTTCGACTCGGACACTAGGGGTGCCGCTCATGGCAGACTTGTACTCGGTGGTAGTGGACCCTGAAGCTCGGCTGGCAGACCTAGTACCCTCCATTGGCAAGATTAGTGTTGATTTATTGCCTTCATCATCCGAGTCTGCTGGAGCGACCGCGAGTCTGTTGTTCTTCCTGCCTCTAATGGTATCATCCTTTCGGTCTGAAGTCCCCTTCCGGGACGGGGAGGGTTCTTTGCTTGTCTTGCCAGACTTGTGGCTCCTATCCT